GGTGTATTTAAATACATTGTTTTCATGTAAGATGGAAAATACTGAGTGGGTATATAAGCAAAGGGAAAGAAGAAAGTAGAAGAGGAAATACTTAAGCAGTATGGTATGAGTTAGGATCTGTGGGGTTGGAGTGATGTATTAGTCTGTTCTCAACTGCTAATAGAGACATACCAGAAACTGGGTAATTTACAAAGAAAAATAGGTTTAATGGATTCACAGTTCCACGTGGCTGGGGAGGCCTCACAATCATGGCAGAAGGCAAAGGAGGAGCAAAGTCATGTCTTAGGTGGCAGCAGGCAAGAGAGAAAGCACGTGCAGAGGAACTCTCCTTTATAAAATTGTCAGATCTCGTGAGACTTATTCACTCTCATGAGAACAACATGGGAAAAACCCGCCCTCATGATTCAGCTACCTCCTACCAGGTCCCTCCCATGACACATGAGAATTGTGGGAGCTACAATTTGAGATTTGGGTGGGGACACAGCCAAACCATATCAAGTGAGAGATCGATATGGGTATGAATCTCGACTCTGACTTACCACTAACTATGTAACCCTTGGCAGATAACACCAACTCTAGCAATCTGTTTTATCAGTTTTAAATGGGCTGGTGATGATAGTAACTACCTCTTACAGTTGTTGTGAGGCTTAATTTAAATAATTCATATATCGTGATTGTAGAGCATCTAGTTCATAGATGGTATATTAGTCTGTTCTCACACCACTGTAAAGAAATAACTGAGACTGGGTAATTTATAAAGAAAGAGGTTTAGCTGGCTCTTGGTTCTGCAGGCTGTGAAGGAAGTGTTCAAGATAGTGAGCTCCAAGATTCTTCAAAGAATCAGGATGTCAGTATGTTCAACTCTCTAATTCTCTGTTCTCCATTTTAAAGTTTAACTTCCTAGTTCTCTTCACCCTTGCCTCTAGTTTCAGTCCACAACTTGCCTACCAGTTCTAATCAGTAGTTCACATCTATTCCACTAGTCACCTGTTCTGACCTGAGTCACCTTTAGTCACCTATTCCGTAACCATCCTTCCCGCCAAACTGCTCACCCCACTGCTCTGGCTCATATCCCTGCTCCCTTTAAAATAGTCAATCAGAATTAGCTTAGACCGTGCAGTCCAACCCTAGCCAATAAAGGAATGACACAGCAGTAAAGGCTACCTGTATGAGGGATAAGAACCCCTTCCCCTCCCCTGTTCAAGTGTGTGCTCGCCATTGACCCATCTGTAAGACATATCCTTCTATAGAAGTAAGTTGCCTTGCTAAGAAAATTTATATTCAGGTGCTATTTCTTTTGCAGCACTGACAATTTACATATAACAGGAAGCATACCAGCTTCTGCTTCTGGGAAGGCCTCAGGAAACTTACAACCATGGTGGAAGGTAAAGGGGAAGCAGGCACATCTTACATGGCTAGAGCTGGAGTAAGAGAGAGGGATGGGGGAGGTACTGCACACTTTTAAGCAACCAGATCTTGCCATAAATCACTCACTATTTGGAGAACAGCACAACAAAGACAGTGCTAAACCATTCACGAGGGATCCACCCCCATGATCAAATCACCTCCCACCACACCCCACCTCCAACATTGGGGATTATAATTTGACATGAGATTTGGGTGGGGATACAGATCCCGACCATATCAGAAGGTATTCAGTAAATGGTAGCCAGCAGTGCTGCTAGCAGAAGTAGCACTTACCAAAGTACAAGTTATCAAACTCCAGGAGAGGAGAAGGAGAAGCATTCACAAAGAAAGGTCTTAAAGGAAGCAGGAAAAGACAGAGGAATACCGTGGATGAAGAAACCAATCTTGAAAAGTTACTAATATTAGACAAAATCATGGCAGATAAAGTAATTCAGACCAACTTTCTCACTGAAGACACCTAGAGAATCTGAACAAAATATAAAATTCTTTGCAACAGAGAGATAAATAAGATTGTGAAGAATTTCCTGTGCTGGGATACATGGAGGTCCAGGGAAGACAGCTGGTGTTTAGGACTGATTTCCCCTAAAAGTGTTTGCCAGTTTCTAAGGCCAGCTAAGAGACCGACTGCTGCTTTTGACAGGGCAATAGGTTTAGAGTCCACAGTTAAGAAGGGAGAAGTCCCAGGAATGCTCCTTTCTTTGAGTTAGGACATTAAAATGCTGCATCCTAGGAGACATATCTAGATACTGCTGCTTGGCTGAATGATCTTTTTTTCTTTTTCTTTTTTTTTTTTTTTTTTTTTTTTTTTTTTTTT